AAACAAAAGGTTCTTTTGTGTTGCCTAATTCTCCTTAATCTAAGACTCAAACTTGATTAAAATTTGTTAGACAAGGTTGCAGTTAATAGTCCTTGAAACATTCGTCCAACTTCATCAAAATTGGCTCAAGAATTGCCAAATTCGAGAGTTCATAATAGGCAGGCAGCTTAAAGCACAAGCACATGACAAATTTTGGGAAGGCAAATTCATCCCTTTCCAAAATTCCTGAAATTTTTACCACATATTCATCTACCACCAAATTTCAGCTGGTTTTATTGTTAGTATTTTTTGTTTGAAAAATACTTATATGTATTTCAAAACAACGCTCTGGTATATTATTTTTTCTTAAATTGCTTTATAGAGAGAAAAACATGTAGGTTTAAGTCCCATATTGAAGAGGAGATATTTTGTTGAGCCATATGTAAAAGCACACATTCTGATGAAATAATACATTCTAAGTACAAATGAGAGAGAAGGTGCATGTGCGGAGCACAAGGTGTGAGGGCGCATGGTGGGCATGACGGAGCTGGGTGGATGGAGCTTAGGAAGAGACCTTTTTCATATATCTCAAAGGCGAATTGTCCTTCTTATGCACAACAAATACGTCTTGAGCCTACGTGACAAAACTTTTCGACACACTAAGAACATTTTTTCTTATGCACAATAAATACTACATCAAAGGGTGACAAAACTTAACAATTTTTTCTTATGCACAACAAATACTACATCAAAGGGGGGCAAACATCGTCTTGAGATAGCGCTCCTACGTGACAAAACTTTTCGACACACTAAGAACAATTTTGTCCTTCTTATGCATAACAAATACGTCTTGAGATAGCGCTCCTACGTGACAAAACTTTTCAACACACTACGAACAATTTTTTCTTATGCACAACAAATACTACATCAAAGGGGGGCAAACATCGTCTTGAGATAGCGTTCCTACGTGACAAAACTTTTCGACACAGTAAGAACAATTTTTTAGTCTCTCTCAAGAGACCATTATCTAAAATTCCTAGAAGCAAACCAATGGGCTAACTCTCTCTCTCTCTACTAGGTTTTATCTTTTTCTCTCTCTAAGCTATGAAGAATCTGGTGTCTATTATGTAGATTCCAAGTTCGGGTGCATAGAGCTTAGGGACAAAGAAAAATACCTTACTGTTTTTTTGTATCCCAAAGACGAATTGCCCTTCTTTGCACAACAAGTACTACATCGAAAGGGGGCAAATATCGAGTTCTCTATTTTGCAAATTGTATCATTTTTTGCCCCCATTTTATCCAAACAATCTCCAGCATTTATGAAATTTTTTGCCCCCATTTTATCCAAACCATTCAAACGTTTCCGGCTGTTGGACGACTGGCTAGTCTATGGTTGCAGCGAAGTCTTGAATCAATCATCATTCAAATATTATGAAATTTGGACAGCAAGTCCATTTCACATTCAAATTTGTGTAATAATGGGAGTTGCAAGTCTGAACTCCAATGGTTGTTTAGTTACATACTATTATCGATACCCAATGCGACATGTATCCTCTATTTACCTTTTGCTGCTTCAATAAAGTTCATACTTTCGTTGAGAACTGGTGATCAGCCGTTACAGTAAACCGAGACTCTGCAACCCACTTTCTTCGTCATTTATGCTACTCTGCAACCTCTCTCTCCAAATTCAATTACTCGAAGTATCTGTACGTATGTGGTAGTCGACAACCTTCAAGAATTCGTAGCAACCCGTGAAACGTTCTCTATTGCAAAGTGCCAGAATTACAGAGTGCATGCACACTTGAAATCCAATGCCAACGAAGAGAACCATGAAACAAGAAACAAGCCAAATGACACATGAAAGCAATCAAACCAAGCACTCGAAACGGCTCCATGATTCTCCGAGGGACCGAATGTTTAATTAACTTTACAAATATTACTAAAATCGATCTATTAGATGACTAACATGACTAGCTAGCTATGAAGAAAAACATCGATGCATAAGATGGATAACTATGAAATTGACGTCTACAATAACTATTCATCTGTGAAGCATTTTTCAGGGGCTTTGCGTATCCTTCAGAACAGTAACGGATTCATCTCTTAGCTTTATAAGGGAGAGAATGTTATAATCTGGTGTTTGAATTCAAATTACCTACTCTAAAGTAAATTTTAGTTCAAATGCGACACACTCTTGGCTTTGTGGTAGGACACCCGGTAATCGACTTAGTGGGATGCTTGACCAGGGTTTAGGGTTGGATTAGGATCTAACTTATGGACCATGTGGGTCAGGTCGAGCTCTAGAATATGGACTTGCAAGTTGTGGTGGGTCAAGTTGTAGTCCCACTTGGTCCTAATTGTGTCAGGTCAGGCCGTGTCTTGAGTTCGCCTTGACATAATATATGTTTATTATATTATAAAAAATTTATAAGATATTACCATTATTGTCATCGTCAGAATTTTTTTCTAACTAATTGATATCGGCTACATGAATCTTGATCCGCCATTCTGCTCTATTAAGGTCATACCTTCAATGAAGTCATAAGTCCCTAATTTTTTTTTACTACTTCAACCATGTCATTTTGGGTCTAGCTCTCGCTCTTTTTTAGCTTTCCACTTCAACTAACCCACACCCCTTGACATATGTTATACTAGGTCTGCATAACATTTAGTCAATCCACTTAAGTCTACTTTCTCTCATCTTATTACCTAAGATATAATCTATATTTTTATTTTTAATTTTTTACTCAAATATGGTGGGTTAGGTCTAGGTCCGATCGATTGATCTACACTTGACTGAGTCAAAGGTCATATCCTGGTTGAACTTGAACCCCCAAGCTTTTTCCATTGGGCCCAACCCAACCCGCTTCTCATTAAGATTAAGTTCACCTAAAGCATTGAGACCCAACCAATTTTCACCCCTAGACTACCCACCCAAAGAAAGATACAGGGCTATGAAAGAAAGATTGAGCAATAATAACGTAAACGAGATCTAATAAATAATGCCCAAGGAAATATTATTGGAAAAATATCCTATTATCCCCTATTTTTAACTTATATATCTCATTAGAAAGTATTACTTGCGAGTAAAAGGACTCCATCTTTTCTATCTTCCAAACCCATAAACCCTTTTGACTATGTATTATTAACCTCAACAATTTATGAAATGACTATATATATATATCTCTCTCAAACTCCATCTCTCTCTGACATCATCTTCTCTCTCTCAAAACTCCAAATTTCTCTAAAACCCAAACTCCATCTCTTTCCTTAAAATTCAAACTCCATCTCTTTCCTTAAAATTCAAACTCCATCTTTCTCCCTCTTTCTCTAAAACCCAAACTTCATCTCTCTCTCTCACACATAAGGTGTGCTCGTATTTGAGCTCAAGCTAAACCCCTTGGCTGGTAAACTTACCGAGAAGCGAAAAGAGAGATGGAGTTTTAGTGAGAGAGAAATGGAATTTGAATAGAGTGTCATTTTAGTGTCTGTTTGGGTCAAAAAAATTTGGTCAAAAGGGTTTAGGGGGGTGTAAGATAGAAAAGATAGAAACATTTTGTTTATTAGTAATATTTTCAATTCGTGAGTATCATGAGACATGGAAGTTAAAAATAAGAGATAATGAGATATTTTCTTAATATTATATAGTAGGACTCTTTTTTGACCGGTTTTAGTGCATCAATTGAGACAACTATCCAAATGCAGTCAACTTTAAAGTCCACCATACAAGTGGACGTCAAACTTAAAATTTCAAAGTTGTATAACTCCAGCCACCATACTCATTAATCTGAAAACATAAATAAATTTTAAATCTTAAGTTATTTGTTTTTTAATTCTTCACAAATCATCATATATGCATGGTATTTTGAGCTGCAAAATTATGATCTAAAATGAAAAAAAGAAATATATAAAGAATGATTTTATTGGTCTCTTAAATCCATAGAATTTTAGATTGGGATAGCATTTGAACAAGTACATGATTTCATTATACACATTTTCAACCACCTGATTTCAAATTCGCCTAACTATCAATGATAATTGTGACCTCCCGATATAAAAAATAAATCGTTTCATTATATAGATTTCCTTAAACAAACCTCATCTAAACTTTCCCAAAACCATTTGAAGGGAAATAGAATTACGGGAGAAATAAAAAGATCGTATAGAAAGGGACATCTTTTGTACTTGATGGCTACAGTGGGGTGAACAAAATAATTGATATTCTGAGTTAACTTTTTTATAGTATTAATGAGGGTGGTGGTAACGATGGAAATGAAAACTACAACGGTGGCAATTAGGATGTGGGGATCACCACGACTTAAGCCCCTTTTTTTTAAGCCACTAACATATTTTATTACACTTGTTTTACTTCATGACTTCACAGAAGTGGTATGTTTTACAGCAATATTTTTATTTATTTTATTAATGAAAAACAGGTATGGGGCTTTCTCCCTCACTGATTTATCAAAAAAAAAAAAAATCACAAGCATTAATATCCCTTAAATTATAGAAAGATACCATTTACCTTTATACAAAGGGGTCACAATAATCTTGATCATTGGATGTAAAGTTGAGTGGCTGCAATTATTCTATTGACCAAGCTCAAACTTCAAAAAAAAAATTTCAAACTTTGTGACACGTCCAAACTATCAAATTTCACATTAAATGGTTGTTTGGAATTGTGATCATCTTTGTACAAAGAATAAATAGTATCATTGTATCCGATCTCATTTTAAAATGGGCGGTTATAAGAGTGTCACAAATACAAAGTTTTAGTGAAAATGATTGAGACTCTATCCATGCCCTAAAGATAAATAGTTCCTTTACTTATAAAAAAAAAGAAAAAAAAAAAAAGAATAAATAATACAATCCAATAAAAAACAACATAAGGAAGAAGACAATCCCATAAATAAAAGGGTAAAATGCGTAATAATACCATATAATCACTCTTATAGTGAGAGACGGAAAACTATCAATCCCATAAATAACAAGGAAGTGAAAGAGACACCCTTTCATTCACTTTGTTCTCTCTATCTGCATATATATTTTCTAGAGAGAAGCAATCCAGCATTCTCTCTCCTCATTTGCTCTGCATCGAGGGAGGAGAGAGAGAGAAATGGGTCGAGAAGGTAAGCAGGTGGTGGGTAGTTCACTTCCAGTGAAGAGGAAGCACGCTGCCTCCTCATCTAGGGCACCAGAAGAAGCAAACCCACCAAAGAAACAATCTCGTTCTCGCATTCGACCTCTTCGATTAATTGATGATATTGCAGATGTTGCAGAGGATGATGAAGAAGAAGATGAGGAGGAGGAGGAGGAGGAGGAGGAAGAAGAAGAAATGGACACTGATGAAGGAGAAGAGGATGAAGAAGAAGAGGATAATGGTAACATTACTTTCCATCTATCTAGGGTATCAAATGGTTCATTTCCCATTATAATGTTTGTTTTGCTTTAGAGTCTCTACTGGGTTTTATTTTTTGGGGGATTTCTCTCTCTACCGTCTGCATTTGTTGGTTCATGATAGCTGGGTTTTGTTGATTCTGCATTTTCTTGGATGGTTGATTTTGAAAATTAGCTTTCTTGCTGGATAGTAATGGGTTTTGAGATTGATTTTGGGTTGATAATAGGAGTTTCTTTGTATGCAAGAAATCGAGATAGGGTTAGGGTTAGCATTGTCCTAGAGGGAGCAACATGCAATGCATTGGGCTTATGATCGTATGACATGTCTTCATGATAATGGATGAATGTTTCAGTAAGGCTTGGACGATGATGATGATGTGATAGTAGATGGCTTTCTTAATCATATTTAACGGTTTAGAAGGGATGGCATTGCCATGCGTGATGAATGGTTTCAGGACGTTGTATTTTTATGTATTTCATCTAGTGCACTGAAACGAAAAAATAGATCAGTTAGTTATTTTCTACTTATATTAGGGTTTCTATATTGTATTTCCGTACTTTGGATTCACATATGGAATAATGGAAGTGCGATGGTAAGGAAGTATCAAAGATGAAACCATGTCTTTCATACACAACATTCTTATCTGATACGGGTGAGTTTATTCTCAGGGTTTATGGAGAATAATGTGTGCTTTGAGCAATATCTGCCCTTGTAACTTAGTTTAAATAATGTTCGCTTGTAATTTGTTTTTTTTGTAACTTATTATGATTTCGTCATTTTTCTGCTAATTTTATCACTAAAAATGTTTTTTTTTCTACTTTTGGGTTTACGGAAGTAAAATGTTGAAGATGTATAAATTTTCAGGTGATAATTTTGTGTCTAGGATTTATGGAAGATGCTGAATGCTCCAATGAACGTTTTACACTTCTGGCTTAGTTTAAATAGATCTCTTTTTTTTATATAGGTTTTGTTGATTTTTACATATATATTTTCTTATGGGTTGCAATTCTATCAGTGGTTGTTATGATAGTTTTTGTTGCATCTTGTTCTTGTAAATAGATTTCAAAGCAGCTTCTCAAGACAAATACAAGAAAAGCTGTTCTTCTCTTCCTTTCTTTATGAAAGAAGAACAGCTCTCTGATGAAGAATTGGAGAGGCTAGTTAAGGAGCGATACGTGCGTGGTTCAGAGCATGTCGTGTATGCCGAGGATACCAAGGAATTTGATAATGAAAAGCCTTCTGTGGCTGGTGAGATCGCTCCAGTGATTTGGAGGGTCAAGTGCATGGTATGGTGTGAAAAGTAGTGTGTAATTGTTTCCTCTTTGTGAGAGATAATTTTTATGTTATCTTCGTCTGCTAGGGTTAGGTGCTCTTTCTAAAATATTTGGACATCAGGTTGGGCGTGAACGGTTGGTAGCTGGCTGCCTCATCCAAAAGTTTCTTGACCTTAAATCCCTTGGAACTCCTCTAAAACTAAAGTCGGCTTTTGCACTTGACCATGTGAAAGGCTTTATATACATAGAAGCTGACAAGCAATGTGATGTAGCTGAGGTTAGTTATGCTTACTATTTAGTATCTCAAATGAGTGTTTATAATATTATTCTCAACTAAAGTTGTTTTCTTTGTTTGTGCTTTTAACGAGTTTCTCCATTGGTTTTTTATGAGATCATTTGCAACTGAAATGTTTTCTTTGGTCAGGCTTGTATTGGGCTTTCTTATGTGTATCCAAGCAAGATGCAACTTGTTCCACAAAATGAAATCCCGTACTTGCTCTCTGTTCAGAGGAGTATGGCTGAAGTTTCCAAGGATATGTGGGTGCGTGTGAAGTCTGGGCAATACAAAAGTGACCTAGCATTGGTATGCAGTCTTAACTGTTTTTTTGAGTAATATGCAGTCGAATTTATTAGTAGTTTGCTAAGAGACTTCAGCTTATTTCTTTTCATTTTGGATAACCAGGTTGTGGAGGTAGACCGGTCACGTAGAAGAGCTACTGTCAAGTTGGTGCCACGGATTGACCTACAAGCCCTAGCCAAAAAACTTGTACTGTTTATGTCTTCCTCTTTAACTAGTCCTCACAATTGGTTCCATGCATGTATTCATTCTAACATGCTGCTCGTACTGTTGCTTTCCTGGTATTTGGTTGTAATGTTAACATTTTCACTGTGTGTGCATGAAAAAAAAAATCTATAATATATGCCAAATGCTTTTGTAGTCATCATTAATTGAAGAAATTGTCTTTTTTATTGGTGTTTCGATTAATGTTTATTTCAACGTTGCTAGATTATATGTGGATCTACTTGTATTAAACAAGTGATAGTAGGATCGGGTTTTCGGGGGTCTAAGAACTTTGTATGATATCAAAATTTGCATGTTCAATAGAGTAGCATGACTTTGTTACCATTTAAAAAAAAGAAAAGAAAAAAAGAGCAGCATGAAGCTACATAAAAATTTATGCACATGCTGCATGCACGCATCCTCTCATCCATTTAAATTGGCTTTCATACGCTTATTTTACTTCTATTGTTGTACTTCAATCAAACACATGGGAAGAGCGTACATGCTATGCTCCTGCCGGAGCGTATTTTGGGGGAGGGGAGGGGGAGATTTTCTGATTTGTATTTATAGGATCCATTAAAGCATCATATTTTCTGGAAAAAAAAGGATATTGAGTTCTCAAAACCTAGAGCGAACTCTCCAAAAATTGGATGGTCCCTGTTCAATCTTGGAACATTATTGGTTTTTTTTTCGGCACATACAGTGTGTTTTTCTTTTTTGTTGCTAGGTTGAAGAAATTACATCACCGAATTTCAGGACCCTGATTGAGTTTTACCCAAGGAGTAAATGGACAGTTGCTCCCATGGGACATGGAATCTTTTGGCATATAAGAATGCGCATAAAACTAATAAATTGAAGTATTACAAACATTAAACACAAAATTTTCAGAAAGGTTTTCATTGTTTAGTGAGCTTCATTCTCCCAGTGAACACAATTTTTTTAGCTTCTTCTGTCTTTATTGCCATTGGCTTTGTTTGTTGTAATCGTAAATGCTTCAAGCCTTTTGATGTATGTAGGGTGCCTCTGTGGGGTCAGTGTCAGTGAACATGTATAACCATATCAAGATTCAGAAGTTTGTATTGGATAGTTAGTTATCTTATCATCCTAGGAGGAAAGCAGAGGGTACTAAAGAAAGGTTACTTAGCGATATATCAAGGTTTTATTCCATGAGTTACTCTTTTTGTTTTCTTTTTTGGGAGAGAGGAGGGGGGGGGGGGGGGGTGGTGTGGTGGGGTTGGTGCTTCCTGCAGAACGTTGTGTATTCATTGATCTTGCAGATCCTTTATGAGTTACTGGGAATTTTGTTTTTTTGTGTTTATCTTGTGGATTTGTTTGTCGTGTTAAATCGTAAATGGTGACTAATTCATTCATTT